TACAGGATATAAGGACGATGGAAGATGTTCAATGTGAGGCCAGGGATTCGCCGGTAGGTTAACATATCTACCGGTCGAATAAAGATTATACATTACGATGGTATTTCAGAATACTTAAAAATGATAATAAAAATACATATATTTTTACTAGAGATTTTAAAAAACAACCCAATCGTTGTGTTAATCAACGAATAACAACTGAATTATATAAGTTAAAAGATACGATACATTTTTTTCGAGAATGTTTTCTACTCAGAGCTTTAGGATTATTTCTCTCTCCCTTTGTACAGTTATGAATATCATTCACTTAAATTCGGTTATTTTTATTGCCATCGATAGAAATCACAGCTATTACTAAACATAGACGACTGGTTTTTATAGGGACGAGTTATCTGATTAATCTACGAATATTCCAGAAACTTTTCTTCGTCAGTTCGAAGGGGAAAGTATTTCGTCAGTAATAGGTTTTTGTTAATTGACTCTTAGCACGAAACATTCACAGGGCGAGTTCTCTTTTAATTTAGTAGAAAACTAAAGAAAAAACTCTGAGCTCACAAACTCATTAGGAGCATATGCTTTTTTCGGTCAAAATATTTAATGAGGGATTGCACTAGGCCCATTACCTGAGATAGGGGTTCCTCAAAATTGCAAAATCGAGGTTCGACTTCGACCGTCATATACAGGGTGTTTTCTGGATAAAAATAGGAAGGATAATTTCTATGAACATATAACCTGAATGTATCAATTTTCAATGTTTTGGTCAGCACCAAATTGCAGAAAAAACCCACAGCTATGTCACAGTTCTTACTTTGCCAATATTATACATTGTCTAAATGGAAAGTTTGAATTTCGGTTTTCTATCGTGATTTAAATACTGAATATTCCAGTTTATGATAATTTACACTTCCTTCATCTAGGAATTCCGGTTTCTTTCTCTTTCGTAAATTGGCAATTCTTTCCTGATGAATACATCCTGATATAACAATAAAAACGAGAATAAGAATTGAGAATAATGATAAGATTAGGAATAAGAAAAATATTAAATTTGAGATTAAGAATAAGAATAGGAATAGAAACGAGAATAAGAATAAGAATAGGAATTTTTCCAGTCTGCTCACTGCTGCAAACGTGTGCTTTCTCAAGTACAATTTATCGAGAAACTCCTCGCTTATTTTAGGTGAGTGGATCGTAAAAAATTAAGCACGCTGAAGAAAAGATAATGGAACCGAAAAATCGGGAATTAATGAAAAAGGGCAAACAATGTGATGGTCGGATGAGAGGAACTATCGAAACTCGTTTCAAAGAACACGTAGCACGAATTCGATTTTGCAAACCAGAACAGTTCAGTGTCGATTAATACGCCTTCGAAAACGGCCATATCGTGAATCAATATTGACCCTAGACTTTCAGATGCTTTCGAGAGTCTGGAATTAGTAAGGGGTGGCATGAGAACTATGGACAAGGACAACAGTTTTATTTTTAACAGGTCATTATCTACTGTTTTAGGAACCAGTAACTTGAATTTGAATAGAAATGTCCCAAACTCATCAATATCCTGTTACATATTAGAATTGGGGAATAAGTATAGTTCGTTTCCTGATGACGTCAAACTAGTTGGCGAAATTCGCGTTAAATATTTGCGTATATGAATCAAAATTAATTAAGTCCTCAATCTTCTGTTGAATAAAGGTTTGGTAACAGATTATTTAGACGATATCATGAGATCCAACGCCTGCTATAAGTCTCAGCAGTACTGCTATGCTGAAACATGAATGGAACCAACAAAAAAATTACACGTTTCTTATCCAAGATTAATACTGTTTCACAAGAGGGTCTCTTGCAAAACCAAAGCTTCAATATCGACCGCCGAATGGGAATAAAAAACTATTTTGGTGGATTGATGAGAGAATCGGTGAATTTCAGAACGCAACATTAGTGTATGCATAAAAAAAATCGTGAAAATCAAGGAGTTTGCGACATCTAGAGTATTTAATTATAATGGCAAAACGATGATATCATTTCCATGAGAAATTATAGTGAGCTGTATCCAGATATTTCTTGTTTCATGTATTCTAAATATTCCTTTACACAAATGTAAGTAACTACTAGTAAATTCAAATAGTACAAAGTATCATTGTGAAAAGTTTTCAGAAAACGTGGCTATTAATAGTAATTAGTAGTAGTGATGACCGCTTCTGTCAGGCTTATCGGTGTTTTGAATTTTAGTTATCAATTGAAAATTATCAGGAATTATTTGTCAAACGATTGATAATATGTTTTAGTACTTTTGTTGTTTATTGTTTTTAATCATGAACTGAGCCTCTTAAGATGTACTAATCCTATGGCTTAGTGTTAGTCCTATACCTACTTCTCAGAATTGCACCCACTTGATCAAATAATTGATTTGATTATTTCATCTAGGTTGTTTCCAACTGACAGTCATTCAAGATGATTTCTTGAAGCTTCACAAGCATATGATTCTGTTTCAATTTCCAATTTTTAATTATTTTATTCATTGTGAAGCCAAGAAACGAGTTGGACCAGAACCAATTTCGTTTTACTTTTTCTGAAGATATTTGAAAAGATATTAAGAAATAAAAAAAATTTCTCATTACCATTTTTCAAATTGTACAAGATGACGATTGAGTATTTTCAATCTGACGTTTCGTGTCCGATATACAGAGAAAGATTTTATATGGATCGGCAAAAAAACTCACACGGTATAAGTTAACATTTTTGATGACAATTTCACGAATGTATCATCATAATCGTTTAATTGGTAAATTGTGAATGAACTCTGTAATAAGTTCTGAAACTTTTTCGTCATTTAACCGACTGAGTGGTCTTTTGTTTCGCATACAATTGAGGATATAGATTTTAAAAGTGCTAGTTCTTGGATGTAATTTCGTTGAATATTATTGAACGCTTTCTCTGATAAGTTTTATCAAACAACAAATGAAATACGTTGCCAGTGAATGTATTGGAAATACATTTTTGCTCTCCTAATTTCCTTCAAACAAAATATAACAAACACTGAACAAGATTTCATTACATTTTTCGCCCTCTCCTAACATGCAACGTCAAGAATACCATATAAAAAATATTTTATTCGAAAGCATGGAAACCAAACAAGAAAAAAGACGAAAGCATCGTGACGTACGTAGCAAAAACGTGATAAGGGTTGGGAGTAATTTCTTAAAATATATCAAAGCGATGGGGCTTTATCAAACAAGGATTAATAAATGTGCGTAATGGGGTTTAAGCACGAGAGTCGATCGATGGTTTGCATTATCGACTATTTGTGTCGGGTGAAGCAGATTTCATTCACAAAAACGGTGCAAATAGAAAAATATTACGACCCTTTATTATACAATTGTGCGAATAAGGGGCTGTGAGGCGATCATATATTTTGTTTATAATTGCATAAATATACCTATTCCCAGGTATGGGAACCCAGTTTGTGAAGGTTCAGTTTTTCAAACGAAATTATCGATGAAACAATTCATAGAAGAACTTGACCTTACACTATTGTTAACGTTCTGTAAGAATTCACTGTTAGTAACAAAAATTTTGTTCTGAGTAGAATTACACAGATCCTTGTTGTGATAATTGCAGAATTTCCTCATAAAATTACAATTGCAAATCGTATTTTTTTTTGTTATTTGTGAATAAAAAAAGAAGTTTTTGCCAAATTCCGCAGAATATCTTACCAATGAAATTCAAATTTCAGTTTCCATTGCATTAACGAGTTTTCTCAAGTAAAAAACATGAATTTGTTGACAATAATACTGTGGCTCAGTTTATATTAGAACTACCAAAGGTAGCATCAACACCAGCATACAAGAACATGAGCGTAGGTGCCACCTCATGCAACCCGAGAAATCCGTGATTGCACAACATGTTCTAGTGGAAACAGATTCTGCAATGAAATACGAAAATACGAGCATCCCAACAATTGCACCAGAAAAGAAGAAGATAGGCGGGTCAACAGAACGCAGAATCCAATACTGAGAAAGGCCATAAATGAACTAGAATACAACTCGGATTGACTTTCCACCAGCAGGGAACCTTTGACAAGGTGGACCAATCAGAACAACCTAGTAACAGTGCGGAAAAATCAGAACGATGACCCAGCAGAAGTGCGCACCAATCAGGAGTGACGATTGGAATAAATACTCCGCCATCCACACCCCCACCCCCACCCCCTACAGAAATTATAAATACGAGTAAAGACGTAGCTCGGTAATCAGTCGTTGCTGACACTTCGGGATATAACCTTCGGCCTCGTAATTGACGAACATACCACTGATGAGGAAGTCTACCGCAGAAGCAGACGAAATATATGATACTTCAGGCTCAATTCACCAACGGTCTATCAGTGTCCGGATTTTGTTCTTTTCAATAATGGTACTAAACATTTTTGCAATTCGAAATAAAAGAATGTTAAGATATAGTATCTGATGTGAAAACGCATCGGCAATTTTCCTTTATCAAATGTGTCGCAACAGTTTGTCAGGCCGCTTTATTTTCTCCCGCATCAGTTTCAATTTTGCAATAAGATATTGCAATATATTGATTTGAATTTAATGGTGGGAATAACAATTATTATGTGCAATAAATACTCAAGGTGATTAACAGATTTTTTTGTTTGATATGGATGATTAAATCGTATTCGTCTACATAGCCTTCCAGCAAACACGACGGGAGACTTTATTATAATATTAAAAATTATATTCTGAATCTGAATTCACACTGAAAGTGAAAATTCTCTTTTTACCTTTTGTATGACACGTTGTGCAAGAATATTATATATAGAATAGGGGCTAGAATTGAACCCTGCAGTATTCCACCGTTGCATCGATGAATAATTCATCGACAACCACACACAAATATATTATTATTATTTATAATGGTGTCACTAAAAGGTATACACTGTTATTTAATGTATATATAATGCAATTTCTTCCAATGTTGCTACTAATGTTACAGAAAAAACTTACCAAAGTTATCAGGACTAGGGTGCATTCCTGAAGGTCCTGGCATAAATCCTCCTAAGCCTGAAAATAAATGAATTTGAATTGGATACATTTTCAAATAATTACAGTAATAATTGTATTTCATAGATGCTGAGTTGATGTAGGCAGTACTCAAGCTATAACAGCCAACCAATTCGGTTGTTATAATACCTTGGAAAGGTAAAGCTTGGAATAACAGTCTATAATTTCTTCAATAATTCTTGTGGAACTGTTTGTGAAATTGATTTGTAGTCTCCGCCCTTAACGAGTAAAAAATCGTCCCAAAATTACACGAAATAAATTCATACACTTAGTTTATGTATTCACGAATTTCATGTTAATATCGTATGTAATTCCATACATTTACATAAATCCTGTTCAGATAAAATTTATTCGACTTTGATAATATCTGCCACATAATTCTAAGCGACATTTGTTATGAATTCAAGTATCAGAATAAAATTGCATGAATAATTAGGTAACGAGCGCAAATAATCGATAGCATTTCGTGTTGTATAAACACCAGTCAGAAAATGATCAAGTTTATGAAATTATAGATTGGTTGAAAGGACTTTTCTGGTATAGAAAATTTTAAAGGAAATATGCATAAATCATTTTTGATTCAAACTAATTTAGTATTCCACTTCTAAACAGAATCCTGACGATCCTCACTTCGCCCGAAAACTCTGCATATTTGACTTTATTTCACTTTCTATGAAGCAGTGTCAAACATTCAAATATATACTTTCAGAAATCGGCGCGTGAGTACTGAAAACAATTTTTTATGCGATCCTCTTGAAATTACCCTTATGATGATATAAATGCATGTTGCCATTTGGAACACTCGTGTCATTGTTTAAACCAAAATTGTTTGAATAATTGCAAGAAATTGTTTTTTTCTTCAACCGTACATTTTTTTTAATAAAATTCTATCTTGGAGTGAAAATAAAAAAATTTCTATGACTTTCCACGATCAAAAAATATGAAATTTCGGTACTTTTGACTCATGAAAAATGTATAAAAAATTATATTTTTTTGAAATTCTTATATAATAGTTAATAATATTCTCAATTGAGATTTGGAAAATTTCATTGTTCATACCTGTTTTTAATTGTGTATTACGCTAGCTCACCAGTATCATTTTTCATCATTTATCTTGAAAACTATTAACATCATCCATAAAAAATATACTTTCGACTTCCAAAGTCGCCTCCCGCTGTCTGTCCCCATGTATGCATAGATCTTTGAAACTACGCAACGATTTTCTTGCAGGTTTTTAAAATAGATAGAGTAATTCAAGAGGAAGGTTTATATGTAAATATGATATGCATAATATAGTAGAAAAACACAGATAATTTGAGAGGTTTCTAATGTGATGTCGCAAATAAACACATTTTTATTCGCTTACTTTGCAAATGCTGGCTGAACCCGGCAAGATAGATAAAAAAATGTACTACCTTTAAAAGGTCTACAAAAAAATTCGAGATAGTATATGTCTATCTCCTAGGGATAAACCACGATAATCATTTTTTATCCTTAAGAAATAATGGCTTATTTACGAAGCGATTTTAGACAATACAGCATTATTCCTTACACAATTAAGTACCTTAGTACTTTAGTACATTTAATAACGATCAATATGGCCCTTTACAGCATGTAATTCAAATGAATATTTTTGAAGATATTACAGATTTAGAATGCAGGGACATAGCGGTTGCGGCGGTACCGGCCGCGGGGGCAGCGCTTCGCCCTATAGCACAATCGCACGCATCGGGGCGGGTCGCTAGTTATTGATAAGTTCAGATGAAAATTTTGTGAAAACCTTAAAAATACCGACCTTGTAATCCTAGCAATGCGTTATGGAATCCGCTCGGCGTCCTGGAAGGGTCCATTATTCCTCCGTTGGTGTCAAATGGGTGATGGTTGTCTAACATAGGGTAGTCAGAAGGTTCAGTCTTTGGGGTAATGGGTTCGTCGCCATGCTCACTCATGGCTGTATCACTACTATTGCTATCTTCGCCCGTCGATTGGGCTTGTATCGATGAGTCGGAATGACCTTTCTGTGAAATAATAAGGATGTTCAAAATTTGGATACAAATCAAACTTCAGTCGTGAAAAAATATTTTGGAACAGAACACTACGTAAGTGAAATCACGGAATTTTCTGTTTAATTTTTTGCTGAAATATGAATAAAACAATTTTTCAACCCAGGCAGTAATTCAGGACAAATTGATTTTGTTTTCAGATGTGTTGAGATATCTTCTGGATGGATCTATTCTTGTGGAAGTCAGGGAGATTTTATGAGTTTCGAAAATGCTTGTAATTGATTTTCTGTTTTCAGAAACAATAAGTAACATCACACATGATTTCGCCTTTTTCATCAGCAGAATCTTCTAGACAGGCATTTTATGGAGCAGAAACTTTGTAATTTCATGTTGTAAACGAATCAAACGTGATTTTACCTATTCTAACCAAGGCTGAGTATGAATACGAATCAATAGTGTATTAGTATATGTGTGGCACCAAAAAAAAAAGATCGAATATTTCTCAAGAGTCATTCGTTGAGGAGAAAAATGCAAAAACATGTCGATTTTTAATTCAAGGAAGACATTTTTTCCATCAAAACCATAACTGCCATAGCTTCTTTCTCGCTCCTTTGAGACGAGAAAGGAGGTATGTTCTTGCATTTTTGCACTTTCTTTCTCAAAAAAAGTGTCTTGAAGATATTTGATCCGTTTCGTTTCCAGTGCCACATAGTGTATATTTTTCAAAACACTGCAAATCAACATAGTGTCAATGAATTCAATTGAAGAAATCAATATCGTTTTCCACTGAAAGGATAGTTTATTATTGTATTTTTTGCTATTCGAGAGACGTTTGACTCCGTCCAACTCTGAGTCTACAGAGGAGATTGATCCTGTTATAGAACTAGGATGCTAGGTGATGCAATCAGAAAGCTACTTATCGTCTCCTGAAGAGCAGATCATCTCACGCATCTGCCTCTCACCAAATATTTGAGCAGCAGAAGCTGAATTTGCATCACAGAGGAGGAGAGGAAACAACTCCCCTTGAGCTGGTCAGCAAACGCTCAAACTCAAACGTTGGTTCACCCGAACCAGATGTGAAAAAGCCTTGCATGGCTGATTCTAATGTTTCCTTTTGTGCAACTGACTGACAGTTGAACATTAGAAAGCTCAATATCGACCAATCAACTGAAGTTTCTTCAGTATGCCACTATGGGGCTGCCGTAGAGTTTATTCCAGAAAATGACATCAAGGTACGTTTCCAAAGCTGCACATTCTGGGATGTGTGGTTACCTGTTTCCTAAGAGGATCAGGAAGATATATCATGGCAGGAGGGCATATCCCCATAAGGGTGTATTGCGCGACGTTTCTGACAAAAATTTAAATTCATACGAAAATGGACGCATAATTTAATCATAACCTCAAAAGAACCCCCTGAATCCAAAATTTTACGAAATATAATTTAATGTTGAAAGAAATAGAAGTAAACAAATACATCAAATGATTATGGTTTGTAAGCTCCTACGCCTAGTGTACAACATATCATTCCCTATTTCCGGCATGCCTTTGATAATAGTGTTCGCAGTTGTAGACGAACCGTCAGACCTGAAAACCTGTAGACCACAGCTAGGAAACTCAAAAACAGTAATTAATCTGTTAGATCAAAATATATGTTTGGCCTACTGGGTAGTAATGAGTTTGCAGGCACTTTGCGCCTTGCACCTTGTTGGCAACGAAGGTTTTTTATTACCTGCTTATCTTATTTATCATTGTTGCTTTTCTGCATTGAGCATAGATCAATCTGTGTGCCGCACAGAAGAGGTGGTTTTGGACAATTCCCTTCCATGGTTTTTTGCAAAAAAAAGTGTGAAGAGTACTACTGAATCGTATTAGGTCTGACACACTTTGTGATGAAATTGCCCTACTGTAGCAAAGTGACAGGAGGCAAAATGCGCAGATTTCGCGCATTTTGCACCTTATTGGAAATACCGGACACAGGAGAAATACTTCACAAGTCAAACATTTGTGCTATTTACCAACTTGACGATGGTAGTCGCATCCTGACCACTGATCCGGTTCTCACCAGATTAAAGAGAATGTAACATGGCCTGTGAACCTTGCAGTTTATTATTTCTCTAATACTCAGCGAAACACTCGTCAGTAGACAGTATTTTTGTTCTGATGTGGAAGAAGTATTTTCAATTGAGCTTTTTGAAGAGCTGCTTACACAGTAACGATATATGTATGTACAAAATAAGGAAAGTTGTTAACAATTCTGAATATACCAAGAAAATTTTATTCCAAACCATGACGTCCAAACATGATAAAATATTAACAGAAGTTGAAAAAAATATATTATAATATAATGGAAAATGCCAGTGGCATGAAACTTGAAATTTCTATTGAAAGTTCTTTCCTCACAGTTTCGATATTGAATTAATCATCAAGAACATACCTCTTTGGTGAGTGTCAAAGGTCCTCCCTCCAAGGCCTGACCCAGCAGCGACTCCTGCACTTCTCCGTTGTTTTCTCTCAAGGCGGGACTGCTCTCCCTGTTGGGGGTGAAGGGGGTCTTTTCCGAACTCCGTGCCCTTTTGGCTGGCGGCGATAATATCCCGTCCTCTCGTCGTTCCGGTCGGTCAGTCGCCCAAGGTAAGGACGATGAAGTCTGGAATCGTGTTATTTGTTTTAGGAATTCATTTGGGGGAAGGTACAGTTTATTAAAAATACCGGGTGTTCACGTTATGTTGCAGGAGTGAATGATTATTAATATGCTATTTGTTTCAAAACACTTTTGTGCATACTTAACACATCTGTTTCTATGCAGGGCGCGCCGGAAGTTCCTTTGTCTGTAGTATTTCCGAAATGATATGCCCGAATTGCTACTCGGGCATGTAATTTCAACTCTCTACCTTTGAGGGGAGGCAACTTCAACTTTGAAAATTCGAACAACGAATAAACTCTTGTCATTCTTGTTTTTCCGTCTAAACACCTCAAAAAATTCGAAGATAGTTTTCTAAACAGCGAAGATAGTTTTCAAAATTTTAGCAGGCATAGTCGAAGTTGTCATATAAATTTCAAGGAAACAATTATAATTTTATTCAATAATATTTATAATAGTATTTAATAATATCAAACACATTTTGACAAAAATAAAAAATGAGATCCCTCGCCATAAAAGAGTTGACAGTTCAATGATGATGATTTTGGAAATAGAATTCATATTCTGTTCAATGAAATTCACATATACCTTTGTGTATAATTGATAATCATACAATAGCAGGGGAGCCCACGTTGCAAAATGGGGATTCACTCGAGCGTCATTGAGACATATTAGGTTGCAAAGCTTAGATGACAAGAAAAAAATGTTATATAATATATACCTTTTCATCGGTGGGGGAAGCGGCTATAGATTTTTAAATATGTAAAAAAATACTGTTGCATGGACATACTCGAGCGCGTCAGATATTGATAGCATCAATGTCCTACGTATTTTTAATAATGTTGGTATGTTAATCTGATCGTTTGCATGATCGTTTGAAAATGTCCTTAAAGGACGAAACTGCAGTAACGTTAGTTACAAATAAAAGTGGTAAAAACATAGAAAGTTTAATTTCTCTTTTCTTCATTATGATTTTCTACCACATAGTAACGGGTACATATCCATCAATTCGTTGATTAATTTATCATCATCTTCATCTTCATCACGAACGAGTCTGTGATCAGCTGTGTCATGGCAACAGAATTCAGAGTGGGGACGGAGTGAGAGAGTAATAGATAGAGAAAAAGTGAATAGAGAATATAGAGGAATAGAAACTTGGAGAGGGAAATATAGGTATCACACAACTGCACGCATTGAACTCTATCGACGAATTTTTCTTATTTCGGCTTGCAGAAATCGTCAGATTATATATTTTTCGTTATCCTTGAATTATTTTCAATAAAAAAAATTAGCTACGCTCGAGAATGTCGAAATGACGTTATTTTTTTTACAACTTTGCTGCCCTCCCCTTTCTCTGCGTCACTCTCACTTTTTAGCAGGTAATTAACTTACCCTAACTTAATCTGACGCGCTCGAGAATTTCTGATGATCAACTTTTTTTTACAAATCTGATCCTTTATTTCTCACAGGCGGACTTATAGTAATAGTAGGTATTTTCAAAACTTGAATAGATAAATGACTAATTCTAGAAAGACAGAAAGATTTTAAATAAGCAATCTTCCAAACCCCGTTCTCGCAGAAATTTTCATGTACCTACTTCAAGAGAACAATTCAGAAACATCAATTTTTTCAAAAATGTATTCAATGTGATATGTCAGAATTCAGAGCAATCCTTTTATTATCCTATCTAGTGGACTTCAAAAACTCCAGGAAATCGGTTGACGTATACAAAAAAGCAATTCAATCTTTCATTTAACTTCTATTCTGACTCACGTTTTGCGAATCTAGATTATTGAAAAATTTACTGTAGAACATTTCCCTAGTCTTTTTTTCTCGATTTGAACTTTCCATTGACAATTTCGATCGAGATTTCGAATAAAACATTGGCGTGTTTCTCGAAGATTCAAACGTAGCCTGTGTATTGGGAATTTGCCATGAAAATCGTCGATAACCAACAACTTACGCAAGAAAAGTGCGACACGTGCGTGTTCCATAATCACAGCGGGTGAGCGTTTTCATGAATGAAATTTGAATACTAAACAACTCGTAAATAGAAGATATGCAATGTTATTTCCACTGTAATATTTCAAGTTTTGTGTACACCCACGTATCGCGTTTGTAACAAGTCACTCACAATTGTTTCTGCCGTCTTGTGTATCATGACTTTTTTGATGAATATTTGTTGATGCGATTCGTGGGTAGTGTTAGTTACTCACCGAATAAGAATATATTTATTATTTAGTATCTAGTCAGGTGGAAGATAGTATGAGACGTTAACACAACAACACATTTATAAAACACCTTCGACGGTTCCTCATGTTTATATGTTACTGAACAGCTAACTACTCCTTCCAAGTCTCCCGAAAATAACCTCATGGGATTTTTCCTTCCATTTTTTCATGACAATCATGCCAACAGGTTCTGTATTGTATATTGTTTGAATGTAATTTGGGATCCATGAGTGAGTCCTATTAGGTTTTCACTCCCTTGGAATCAAAAAGCTTTTTAAACGTGATCAAATAAAAAGAGTGAGTTAGTAAATTTGTCTTGAAATTTTATTGCGTTTGAATGAATATTCATAAATCAGTTACACCTTTTATTATGAATTATACCTAAACACTTCAACACAACATTTCAGTTGAAACCAGAGCCGATAGATGGCGTTTCCGTGAGGAAAGTTTGCGTCTACCTTACTGAGGCTTGTCTTTCAAGGACAGTTGAGTCCAGCAACGCATTTGTGGTTCAGCCGAGCACAACTGATGAGACCTATGTCGGGTCGAAACAGTGCTGCCTGGTATCTGTAGAGTAGAGAGGGTGAGTGTACGCCCACAGCACTTAGGCCACATGTGACCCATTGTACATCCTTCTGAGGAGTTGTCCTCGTAGGTCATCGTCCATCCTGTCCTATCCAGGAAGGTGGACAGGTCACTAGGAGACATCTCCTTTATATCGGCAGGTGTAGACCAAGACTCGCCGAACATACACTCTCTTATTGACGATAACTCCGGACATTTGCATAGGGCATGCCTGACAGTTTCATCTTCCTGTTCACACATCCTGCATAGAGGTGTGTCCACTAGCCCCATATTGTGGAGGTGTTTCCATAGTTGACAGTGGCCAGTCAGAAATCCTACTGTTAAGCGTAGATTTTTCCTGGTCATCGCCAGATGTTTTTTTGGCGCCAGCTTTTCAGGGTTGCCATGGATGAACCTGGCAAGATTGCATCCTTTGATTTCATCCCATCTCTTTAGGGATTGAGCATGGGTGTGACGTTTGGCTAGTTTCGCAATTGTCGAAGTCATCAGGCTGTAGGTGCCAGTGGGTCCTAAAATTATTGGTCTAGCCGCTTCCTTGGCTAAAGAGTCGGCACTGCGATTACCTTTACTCCTGTCGTGCCCTTTAACCCACCTCAGGATAATGTTATTATCTACCGAGGCTTTGGCTACATCTTGGTGGCACTCTAGTACTAACCCTGAGGTAACGCTACTGGTTGTTCATCATTAGATTTTTTTTCATGGGGATATGTAAAGAGCAATGTGTACAAAATTAAACCTTCAGGTTTGAATGACTTGGAAGAACGAATAACGCTTACGATTAGGTCGGTCACGCCTGATATGTTCAAGGCTATTAGGGCTTGTCTGTATCAGTACAGATTATTATGTTTTAGCCAGAAATTCCTTTTCTGGTTATTTCTTTTGTGGCGATTGGAATACCAGTCAGGTGTTGACCTTTAAATGCGTTTTGTTAGGGATCTGGTTTTCAACTCGTTGCCTTGCAGTGAAAGACAGAGGACGATTCTGATCGGTAACCAATATGATAGCTTGGTTTTGCAACTGGCCGTCTTGGAAAGTCTCGATTATCGTTTCTTATTCGTGGATTAAGCTCTATGTCGGTCCCATATATGGTGTCTACGTAAGGGAAGGTGTAGTCGACCTTACAGAGTATTTCAGTTGAAGCGAGCCACTCCGAATGAGTCACTTGATATAGAGACTGAAAAATCGTGAGACACGTCAACTTCAGTTTTCAGTTAGCCACCTTCCTTTCGTAACAACCTATATGTCCAATAAATTTCAAATGGGAATAATGATCAAGTGACACCTTAACTGAAAGGTCTTACAATACTATAACCAACACTGTGTTCATAATGTTTTAGTTTCTAACTAAAAAAATTCACCTTATCAAATGTTGAAACTGAGAACCATCAACTTGCAGACAATGATATAAACGATCTTCCGTTTCCTCCTTTACATTTTGAAAAAATGTGCTAGTAGTAGACAACATGAGGTGATTCATTTCTGTAAATTATCTACAGCAGTTGGCTGGGTCTTTTAAAATTTTCATTTCAACCATCCCCAAGAAAAAAGTCCAGTGAATTCAACTCTTTGGAAGAAAAGAGAATTGAAACTTTCTATGTTTTTACCACTTTTATTTGTAACTAACGTTACTGCAGTTTCGTCCTATAAGGACATTTTCAAAGTTAAAGTTTAGTTAGCTCCCAAACTATATTATTAAAGGGGAGCTGTTAGAAGGTATGTTGCACTATATCGTATATGCCTCGATTTTCAGTTGTGCATCCTTGTTATTTCATGTTTTACTTCATTTCAATGAAGATGTTATATAATATTCCAAACATTTCATAATGAATGTTTGAAGTACAAATTGAAGTATATTCATATAAAAATGGTTGTTTCGAAAATACCTACTTTTTCTTTCGTAAAATTCAAAGTTCATGTGAAAGTTTTGATTGCTTTCTTCCTTCCTTCGGAAGTTTCCCACAGTTTTTATATGAGATATAGAAAGTCAAAAATATTTTTTTTCAAGATTATTTCCAATCTACCTACCAACCTAAAAACAAAGTTACTTTTTTGCATGATCCACACATCTCTGTGAAGAGTTTATTTTGGAATAATTTGCATTTTTGCTTTGTTTGGAAAATTCTCTTTTTGTATGAAGATGGTGAATTAGAAAGGCAAAAGGATTTTTCCTCAAAAACTCGCTTGAAAAAT